AAACCAAATTTCTTTATTTTGATCTAGCAAAAAAAATATCAGTAATGAATACTATAAAAAAAAAAAAATTTTAAAACTATAAATACTTTAAACTTTTTGTCAATTATATAATCTCTAGAAAAAGTAATACACAAGCATCTACAGATTATAATGATATTATATACAATATATTTTGTATGTGTTTAAAATGATTATTGACATTATTAGGAGGAATAAAAATTTTTTATACAGAACTTTTTCTATATTTATTGTATTTTAATACTCTACATTGATTATTTATTCTTCTCATGATTAAATGTTAAGAAAAATCTACTATCGTCACAACATGATATGTCTTTAAAGTTAATTTTTTTGGTGTTGCCACTATGCAAATCACATAAAAGCAATAGCTAAAAAAATATCTGCCTTATCAAACCTTTATTTATATCAACTTGCATTGTTTTGTGATCAAGAATTTGTATAATTTTCTCAGTACTTAATACAGATGCTTGCTCTGTTTTATCTAAACTTGCATTTTGAAGTTTTTTCATCTTGCTATTAAGCATTCTTAAAGCTTTTCCAAAATGGTAAGAATCCTATAACTTATATGGCCTGATTTTGCTATTTTCTTTAAATAACATGCTATAGACATATATAGAGCTGCAGACATTTAGAAGGTCCAAGGTAGTACGTCACTCTTTACGTTATATAAAATTTATATATAAACATATTAAACATCATGTCACATACATCACGTTAAACGTTATAGTATATGTTTATTGATATTCTAATATCTGCAGCTCTAGACACATAGCAGTTGTGGATACTTTCTACCTTGTAATCTTTGCTATTCAAACATTTTAACCAGATAAGGAACTTATAAAGAAAGTTTTCTAATTCCATAGCTATATTAATTTTTTTGATACCTTTATTATATTCAATAATTCATGAAATCTACTAATTGAATGCAACTACTTTAAAGTGCATTTATTAGTGTTTTCTATATGTGAGATGAGATTTGTTGCAATTCAAACATATCTTCTTTAGTAGAAGCAGCAGTATAATTTCTTTTACTTATTTTTTTGTATTACAAAAAAAAAATCAATAATCTGTCAATATAAAATTGATTACTAAAATAAAAAAGTTTAATTTATTAAAAAGTAATTTAATAGATAATGTATTGTATAGGATTGTTATATCGTATTTATGAAATAATCTTGTTATTTAATAGGTATCAGTGAATATGAAATATTTCATAGATTAATAGTAAACTACATGGCTTTTAGCTATGTAATTTTACTATTAATTTATAAAATACCCATATTCACTGATATCTATCAAATAACAAGAATTTATTATTTTACTTCTTATTATAATCGCATAATAGAGATTTACATGTTATTAATCATAATTTTTATTATAAAATTTTTTTTTTTATTTGTTATTTTTACAGGGTGATAACAAATAAAGCTGGTATAATAACAGGCATTTTTATTTTTTTGAACGGTCAAAAGTATAAAAGAAGACAAAGAAAATGAAAAAAATAATTAATAACACAAGTTCCTATTATGTTGTTATATAAAATATTGAATAACTCATTTATTTTACTATGCTAGGAAATAATTAAAATATTCCTCTTAGTGATGTACTTATAGAGCATAAAGTGCTCTACATATACTGCTCAAGAAATATTTCATTCTTTTCACCATCTCGGAGAATAAATAGTACTTATTATTTTTATTATAACTATTATTATTATTATTTTAAATATTAAAGATGAGGCTAATATTTGTAGTTGAATTTATATAGTTAATTGGTGATCCACCAGTCAATCAGAGAGTGTAATAGTAAAATATAACTCAAATTATTTATAAAAATTAGAGGTCTCGGATTTTAATAACTCTTTTCTGTAGATCCCAAAACATTAAGTAAACAAATAAACTGTGTAAAATAATTCAAAAAAACTATAAACTACAAGGGAAAAATTCACAATATAACTAATTTCTTAGAAGATACTGCACTCCAGACTAGACACAAGCTAAGTAGCAAGAAAAGAGACAGAAGCTCACTAGCAGCAGACAACACACAAGCAATTTTGTTACTAACTTTGTTAGTAACAAATACAGAAAGTAGTAATAAAACAACAGAAACAAATAGCAATATTTTAGTTAAGACACAATAGTATGAAAGAAGTTCTAACAAAAAAGAAGCTAAAGCAAAAACACAACTCTATAAGTATTCAAAATGATAACTCAGTTAAAGAAAAAAAAAAAAAAAAAAAAAGTAAGAGAACCCACTCCTACAACTATTTGACATCATTCCAAATACAAATAGCTATAGATACAAATTTGGGAGAAAATTTCCACATTATGCAGAATATAGATTGCAACAATCAAAACATGAGTGAACTAAACTTACAATGTTTACAAATTAAGAAGGCCCTAGTAAGAATCCAGAAAATCAAGAGCTTAGCTCTTAGCTACAAACAAAACCAGTCCCAACAGATATACAAAGCTCGCTAAATATAGCATCAATGACAAATAAACAATGCATATAGTTGCTATTACAATCTAATACAATGACAATGATTAACACCAACTTATACATAACAACGGATGAACAACTTGAGAATCAAAAATCAACAAACACAATATTGTCTTGAGCTACTATACCTATTCCATCATATCGTGACAAACTAGTTAGAAAAAAAGCAATCAGACCACTAGATAACTATATTACAAAATAGATGCAACATGCTAGAAGGCTCAAAGCCAATCAAGTAGAAAATGAATTCAATATAGCAAAATGGTATAATAACAAAATAATCAAAGCCTTAGAATTTCTAGATATATTTAAAGAATTTATCAGTTACAAATTTCAAACTAGGCTAGCAAATATTCCAATACCGCAAGCAATAAGGCTGAAGTTCCAGTTCATGAATACTGCTTTTTTTCGTTCATTTACAAGAAACAAGCAAACCATACCTCTTATTAAGATAAATTTAATAATCTTTCATATAGTGCTATTGACAAATATAAGCAATTTATATAGAGGACCAATTTCCATACCCCACATTTAATATTTAGATCTCTGCAGATTTAACTTTTTTTTAAACTTTGGGTAAAAATATTTTAAGAACTATCAAATAAAATTTAATAAAGTTTTTTTTCTTTAAATTCTATAGATTTATAAAATTCAAATAAAAAAAAGTTTATTGAATTTAGCCCAATAGTTGCTAAGATATCTTTGCTTAAAGTTTGAAAAAAATCAAAATATCTATTAAAATATTTGTCAAAACAAACTACAAAATTTTTTTTAAACTTTGAGTGAAAATATCTCTGCAACTACTAACCCAAATTAAATGAACTTTTTTTTGTTTAAATTCTATGAATCTATAGAATTAAAATAAAAAAAAATCATAAAATTTAAAAGAAAAATCTAAAATATCTATCAAAATAGTAGCTGTATCAAACTTTTTTTCAAACTTTAAACAAAATTATCTTAGCAACCACCAAGTTAAATTTGATAAAAATTTTTTTGTTTGAATTCTATAAATTCGTAAAATCTAAATAAAAAAAAATTTATCAAATTTGGCTTGGTGGTTGCTAAGTTATCTTTGTTTAAAGTTTGAAAAAAAAATTGATATAGCTTTTGTTTTGATAAATATTTTAAATATTTTTAAAACTTTGAATGAAGATAACTCTATAACTATTAAGTTAAATTCTATAATTTTTTTTAATATTAATTCTATAGAATTATAGAATTCAAACAAAAAAAAGTTCATTCAATTTGGCTTAGTAGTTGCAGAGATATCTTTATTCAAAGTTTAAAGAAAATTTTGTAAAATAGATATTTTAATAGATATTTTGATTTTTTTTAAACTTTGAGCAAAAATATCTTAGCAACTACTAGGCTAAATTCAATAACTTTTTTCTATTTAAATTTTATAAATCTATAGAATTTAAAGAAAAAAAAAGTTTATTCAATTTAATTTGGTTTACTAAGATATCTTCACTCAAATTTTTTAAAAAAAGTTAAATTCTGTAAAGAGTATGAATATTAATTATAGGGGGTATGAAAATTGGTTCCCTATATATAATATATATTATATGTTGCAATTGACCAATCATATTGATTTTATAGAGATACCTCTATAGTAAAAAAATATTATATAATATCTGAGGTGAAGTTAACAGAAAAGGAACAAATTATTTTTAGTGAAATTTTTTTAATTTTTAAATTAAAATATCTCAATAACTAATAAATCAAATTTGCTTGAAATTTTTTCATTTTAATTTTGAAATTATAAAGAATTAATATAAAAAAAAATATTAAATTTGGTAAGATAATTGCTGAAATATTATTTCTGTAGCCTGGCACAGGCAAAAATAGTATTGTCATGATCATCTTCTTTGCGGCCTTTTTCTTCTTTTTTCTATTTTTTCTTTTGTGTATATTTTTTGTTTTGTTTAGTTTAGATTTCTTCTTTTTTTTGTATTTCCTTTTATTTTCTTAAATTTTCCATTGTTCTTGTGGTAGAATTCTTCTATCTAGGAAGCTAGGAGAAGAAGATTAGAAAAGAAGGTAATCATGACGGGCTAGTAAACCAGGTTGGTGAACCGAGGCAGGTTGGCTTGATGTAGGTTGAACCAAACCGGGAAGATTAAAATCATCTTTGGCAGGTCGCATACAGGTGTATGAGTACTTAGATATTCTATATAGATAACCGGGTAAGTCACATTCTGGTAATAAGATATAATATAAAAATCTTTTGGATTGTTGTATATGATCAATAAAAGCAGGGATGTGGTATGATTGTCAAAAAAAAAAAAAAAATTGCTGAAATATTTAAGCTTAAAATTAAGAAACTTTTATTTAGAAAAATTTATCCTTTTTCTATTGATTTCACCCTATTTGTTAGCATCTTTATAATGATGTATTTATAGTTTTCTCTGAGATCCGTTCACAATATGACGTAAAGTTATCGTTATATTTTGAAGTGCTGTCTTGGTACATGTGCATCATTCATCATTGAATATATAAGCATACGGAACAGCTTCAGAAACGCGAATATATCCTCTGAACATTCCATCGGTATTGAAAGGCATAGCAACTTAATCAAATAATTTGTCATTAATGCCATAAATATAGGAATAGGAGTAATGCTATATTATTAACTTACAATTTCCATATTTGTCCAATGCGATGAGTCCGCCAATGCCACCAACTTTTTCTAAATGGTTAATAACGTACGAAGCCGCATCTTGCACACTTTCTTCAAGATATTTCATTCGCGCTGCCACATCATAAGCAACACTATAACGAATGAAAAACTACGTGAAAATATGATGAGTTGTAAATGAGTTATAAATGGGTTGTAAATAGATTTATGATATATAAAGCAAATAGTTTTTTTTTTTTTTAATTACCTCGCCATTTCCAGTACCACTGACACCACATGTTTCATTATCAGCCCAAGTTCCACACGCTATTAACGGTGTATCACCGATACGACCATCTTTTTTATTATTAAATCCACCTTAACATGTTAAAATTAAAAAGTAATCACATATATTCAATTATTATGCCATGATATCTTGGAAATTGTAATGTGGTATCACATTTACAAACCTGTAGATGTGGCCGTCGAAATGATCCCATTTATATCAATCTTGAATAATGATTTTATAATTAAAAATGTAGTAATTACGTGGATTATAAAATCAAATAATATACTACCGCAACAGCTCCAACTGTTCCCATCGGATTTGGATCAGCTGCATCACGTGAATCACCAGCATCGAGATCATTTAGCATTCTCAAGTTCTCAGGTTTCTTCTCTTCTAATCCATCTAAATGTTGCTTCCATCTCATCTTTGTCCAAAAATAACCCGGATCTACCATTTCTAATCCTTTTGATTTCGCGTATTTTTCTGCCTCAATTCCTCCAAGGAATACATGTGGATTCTCAGGGTCTTGAAGTAGAGTTTTGGCTAGAGTTATTGGGTTTTTGACTGTACTCAGTAATGTACATGCACCAGCTGTGTGGGAGTCAATTCCAAGCATAATTGACGCCTCTAGTTCATTCTATTAATGAGTTTCGAAGACTTCATTGTGGTTTGTCATTTATAATGAATGAATGATTAAACTTTTATTGAATAATTCACCTTGCCGCCTATAGTAAATACTGATCCTTTACCGGCATTGAAAAATGGGCAATCTATTAAATGACGAATCAATTTTAATATACAGTAACTAAAAGATTCCGTATATGTCAAAAATCATTTACAAACCCTCCATAACTCTGACGGATGCCTCAACGGCATCAATGGAACTTCCCCCTTTTTTCAATATCTCATGCCCGGCTAAAAGTGCCTCTTTTAATGCATCAATGTATTCTTTTTTTTTTGATTTCTGGGAAATCGTCAGGGTTTAATATTCCCGCACCACCATGAATCACTAATGTTGGTCCATGATTTATTTTGTCTGCCTATGTCACGGTGGTGCAAATCATCAATAAGAATATGAATAATGATAAAGTGAATGTAGTACTATTAAACAAAGAGGTGTATTATGATAAACCACCTCTTTTGGCATGATATCTTTGCTAAGTTTGATGCTCGCTAAAGTTTCTTCAAGGTTACCCTAGCGCGATGGGCTTCGCTGTCATTGGCTAATTTTTTAATTGGTTAAATCGTCCAAATGTGCCGATGACGTAATCATAGCAAAATTTTAAATCTGTGCCAGGTTCAGATTTTAATTTACTTTATATTCAATATTTAGTTATACCCATATACCTAAAATTTCGTGCTGAAAACTTTTGTTTAGAAGTCAAACTACGGTTATCATAGTAAAATCTTGAGTTATTTACGAATTTTCTGTCTTCTCGTTGAGAAAACATAAAATTCGTAAATAACTCTAAACAAAAGTTTTCAGCACGAAATTTTAGGTATATGGGTATAACTAAATTTTTTCTTTTAATTCGGTGATTTGAGACGTGCCAAAATTTTTGGCCCCATTACAAAATTGTTTACTAATTTCCGGCCGGAATTAACTTTTTGATTTTTTTATTACAAAAATGGAAATAAGCTTAATGTTAGGCTAATGTGTAATTTAAAATTTATTTTTTATACGTATATACTTAGGGTGTTCTCAAGCGCCTAAATCAATTAATCGGAAATAAAATTTGAAGTTGTTACACCCCAAGCTAATTTGTAGCTAAAGATACAAAGTTCAAATTTTACTAGTATTAGTTGAACAAAATACTTGTTATAGTAACAGATCTTTATTGATAAATTGGGTTTTATTACTTGTAATTTTAGTCACACCAGTACCATTTGTGTACTGGAAGATTCTGAAAGTATTGCACATAGAAATACAAACTAGTATAAGATTTGGGGACCAATTTTCATACCTCTATATTTAATAAACATACCTTTCTTAAAAAACAAACCATTTAAACAAAGATATCTTAGCAACTACCTGCCCAAATTTGGAATTTTTCTTTATTTTGATTATATGAGTTTATTTGATTCAAATAAAAAAAATTTCATCAAATTTGATCAGTGTTAGTCAAGATATCTTTGCTCAAAGTTAAAAAAAAACTCAAAATGTTTATTAAAATAATTTTTTAAAACTTTAAGCAAAGATATTTTAACACCTACCAGACCAAATTCAATGAAATTTTTTATTCAAATCTTCTAAACGCAAAACTACTATTCCTGATGGATCATTGGTACTGATCCTGATAGGGCAAAAAAAAAAAACGATTTGCATATCATTCTTGATGGATCAAAACTAGAGTATAAACTAAACTTTTTTTAAATTTTAAATAAAGATATCTTGGCAACTACCAAGCCAAATTCAGCAAATGTTTTTTTATTTGGATTCTATAAGTTTGTAAAATTAGGATAAAAAAAAGTTTATCGAATTTGGCTTGGTGGTTGTTGAGATATCTTTGCTTAAAGTTTGGAAAAGTTTTGACA